ATCCTTGATTTCTAGGAGCTAAGAGATAACGGTTCTGCCCGAACTAGGTTAGGTTGATATTCTTCTTCCTTAGAACTGAAAGAGTAATAGGGAGAGTGAAAGGCCTTTGCACAGTGAGCCTTGTTGGAGAATGAGGATGGAGAAATAATTCTGGGGCTAGGGGAGAGAGGAGCAGCAGCTAGGCAGCCCAGGGGTGGTGGACGGGGTGGGGAGAGAGCCACTCTGGGCTGAGGCTGTCAGGAGGACGATGGGATAAGCAGAAGGTGAGGGTGTGGTCCCTTTGCCATGGGAGCCTGACAGCTGCTGGTGAATATGTCACCTCACCCCAGAGGTCCTTCCTTCTTTTTAACCTTTGCCCCAGCCAGGGTATGTTGCACAAGCACACAAGGACTGTGGTGCTGTCGAGGATAGTCTGGGGTCCCCTTGGGGTCACTGCTACCACTCTCGGGTTGTGTTCCTACATGGCCAGGAGGCAGCTCCTCCCTCCCTTCTTTGTCTGGTCACATCCCATCTGTTGCCTTTGGGGGGGGGCGGGGCCAGTGACTCCTTTCCTGACCTAGGCCCAAGAGGGCTCTTCAGATGGCAGCTGGAGACCAGAGAACATTCTGCCCAGGTAGATACAGGCTTTGGGGCTGACCAGGCCCACCCCACCGTCAGACCTCTGGGGGATGCCCCTTTGTAAGTACTTCTTCATTCCAGCTGGGGAGCAGAGAAGCAGCAAGGTCAGGGCCCAGCTATCTGAAGGACTGTTCAGTCAGTATCCCGGCAGGAGATGGAAGGCCCACCCACGAGTGAGTGCGGGGCTGCTGATGAAGTGCCAGGCAGGGTGGGGACATCAGTGGCGCTGATGCGGTAAGTCAGGGCCTTTGCCACCTCTAGGTCTGCAGGGACCAGGGAAGGGACCGATGCAGGCCAGCATACACCAGCTGGGTCTTTAGAAGTGGGGTCCGGGAACCATGGTGCCCAGGTGGGCAGGTGACTGCCCACCCTGTCGCCTGCCCCACACCAGGGTGGAGAGTGATTCCACAGAGGCACTTGGAGACCTCCAGACCACACGGGCAGCACAGGCAAGGCGCCGAGGCCAGTGTGGGTGGAGCTGGGTGTTTCTCCAGAAAGGGCCGTGGTGAGCAGCACTGCCAGCCAAGCACGTCACTTGTCCCTGCCGCGAGGACTGTGGAAAAGTTGACCACATTGGTAATTACAGCAGCCGGAGGTGGCAAGACCTCATAGCATCTCTGACTTCATCTTCTTGTCGGGGCAGGAGAAGGTCTCCCAGGAGGAGGAGGTGACATCTGAAGTTGGTCAGAGGCCGAGAGGGATCCGGCTCAGCCTCCGCTCTTTAAACCAGTGCCGGCTTCTTTGAAAACGTGGCAGGTCCCCTTTTACTGGCTTGCGGGCCTCGCATTTTTAGAAATCATCAGAAGAAAGTGTGTTTTAATAGGCCATATTTTCACCGGCATTTTCTGAGATTGATGATGTAATTAGAGCAGACCAAGAGGATGAAACATTAGGTTTATAAACTAGGATGCGCACAGATGTTTATACTCTTCGGCAGGCACAGATCTGTAAATGATTTTTTTTGCCTTAAACCTAACGTAGTGTTTTGCTCTTTGTGTTATAGCAGCATCTCCTCCACAAAGGCCATTTCTGCGTTTGGCATAAATCATAGTGCGAACAGAGGCTCATGAAATGGTGCCTCCCTCCGTTGGATGTACGTCGGGAAGAGAAATGCCCTCCAAGTGGATCGGCATAGGTGCCCTTTGGCACTCTGGCTGTTAGGGTTGAGCTCACAGGTTTCAAATGGGCCTTACAGCAGGGACGACAGCTCGTGTCCCCTCTGGTGAGGGAAGGAGAGAAGACCTATCACCCTCTCTGGGTGGAGGGAACCCCCTTACAGATGGAGGTCACAGGGGCATTCCTCGCATGTAGTTTTCTCTCTTCTCCTTGAAGTCTTTGTGTGCCCTTGCCCGAGCCAACGCTAATTGTAAATTTCTAGGCTGTTGGCCCAACCTCTTATTTGCTGCTCATGTTTTCTGGTTTTAGCTGATTTCAGCAGCTTCTGCCCACTACCTGGGCAAGAGTGTTCCCATAGCAGTGGATTCCCGGGTGGTCCCCTGCCTCTGGTGCTGTGATCTGCCTGAGCTCTGCCGGCCAAGCTGAGCCGCCATGGTGCCTTCTCTCTGTCGGAGGCCTCTTGGGGGTCACTGTAGAGACACGGCCTGTCACTCCAGGTGACTTAATCAGTGTGGAAAGCCCAGCTGGAAGCCTTCTGTTGGTTTTCTGCCTCCCAACACAAATGCTCTTCAGGTGGTGGTGACCTGACATGGACTCTCAAAGAAAGGCCTTTTGATCCTGGGCTGGGGATGCCTGTCCCCGCGTGCTCCCGGCTGCCTCCCTGTGGAACTGTGGCGCCCAGCCGCCCAGCCGGGCCTCTGCTGGGAGGCAGCTGACCTGAAAGTGATGTTATTTTTTTAACGTGGGTTTTAGTATCCAGAGCAATAATATTTTCAGCTGGTTATTGAGGCTGATTAATGAGCTTCAAGCCTCCATTTGGTTAAATAGAGCTGCCTTCACAGATGTATTTTGGGACAGTGCAAATCCAGGGTTCTGCATGGGATTGAGTTACCCCGAAAGGTGGTCGGCCATTTGCCCGGGGCCTGGGCCCTGCAAAGCAGTCTGGGTAATTCCCATGGTGCCAGACCACTAGGCGGGTTTTCAGAGCAACAGGACACTGGGTGCTTCTCTCTTCATCCTCGAAAAATGGTGGTCAGTCGTGCTCCAGAATGATGAGCCCCTTTGGAGACATAGTTCCCAGCCCTCTCACATGCTTACTCTATTGTATTTGAACTGGTTATTGGTGTTTTCAGAGCCTCAGTTTCTTCATCTGTAAATTGGGTGAGCCTATAACCTACTCCACACTATGTGTGTCCAGGGGGCGGGGGGAGGGCAGATGTGCACACATGTGTTAGTTTGGGGGGATTGTTGGGGAGCATAGGGGGGACAAAAGCAGGAAAAACTCCAGGGGAAAGAGCCACCGTCTCTCCTTAAATAGTCTCACGAAATCATCAATCAAATCAATTCAAGAAATGACCAATCCCACGAGACTAGTCTTAATAAAGGTGTGGAGGCACTGGCCTTGGCAGGGACATGCACTGAGATGGATGGCCCAATGGAAGTCAGGAGGCTTGTGCTCCTGTCCTGGCTCTGCTGTGACCAGCTGTATGATTTTAGGTCAGTCCTTTCCTTCCCTGAGCCTTGGTGTCCAGCTCTGAAAAGTGAGGGAGTCGGATTCCTTCCAGAACCACGATCCCATCGCTCTGTGATCCAAATGATTGAAGTGTTCATATTTCTTCCTTGGTGAAAATCACTGAGTCTTGATTCTCTGTGAGAAGAGAAACGGTAGCACAAGGAAACTCAGCCACGTTGTGGGCAAGTGTGCCAGGCTGCATCCGTGGGCTTTCCAAATGTGCCTGTGCTTTCCCTTGTCCAGGAGGCTCTTCTGGACTGGCCTGGGGGGAAACTGGACCCTAGGCCCTGGGCTGAGGGGTTGCCCTGAACCACGCCAGGAGGGCTGGGGCGCCTGGCTCCACGGTGTTTCAGTCTGTCTGTGTTGACGTCATTTCCTCTGTCTCTTTTGAAATAGCTGTGCTTTTGGACCGAGGTTGACAAATCCTTGGGTGGTGGATTTTGAAATGGTTGTAAACAATGTGCAATTAGTTCTCTTGTCTAAATGAGAAAGGCAGGCTTACCCAGGCTTCTTGTTAACCGGAGGTCTTTCCTCCTCTTGGCAAAGGCATCAGATGTGAGTGAAGGAGCCCCTTTTGAGGTCAAGGAAAATAAGGTTTGTCTTTTGGAGGTCCACTGACTTGGCCAGCGATCTGGAGTCCTAAATTCCTTGGTGTTGTTGACAAAGAGCTCTGGTGTGGAGGTCGGCTGCTACCTCCCTGAATGACCCTGGGCATGTCTGCTGAACCTCTCCTGCCCTTCACATGCGATTGAAGGGGTATGGCAGTGGCCCCCCCGGCCTCCCATGTCACTATCTGGGCTTTTTTAAGGTTCAGATGAGAACATATGAAAAATCTCTGTGTGTTCATTTTATAAGCTGAAAGCTGCAAAATGTAAGGCATCAATATTAATGTTTTCTCTTGGAAGGCATAATAATGATGGGGTGATAATTATGCAACTGTTCATTGAGCAGTATTTATTTTTTTTTATTTTTTTTTTGATGTTTATTTATTTTTTAAGAGAGAGAGTGTGAACAAGGGAGGGGCAGAGAGAGAGGGAGACACAGAATCCGAAGCAGGCTCCAGGCTCTCTCTGAGCTGTCAGCACAGAGCCTGACGTGGAGCTCAAACCCACAAGCTGTGAGATCATGACCTGAGCCGAAGTCAGACGCTTAACTGACTGAGCCACCCAGGCGCCCCCATTTGAGCAGTATTATTATGTGCCTGGCTCTGGGCTAAGAACTTTATCACTTTCTGTCTGCACAAGTGCCTTGTAGTAGGTGCTTTTTCTATCTGCATTTTAGAGTTTAAGGAATTTGTCTAAGGTCACGCAGCTGTAAGGTCTGAGTGACCTGAGGGCAGGACAACCTCTCCGGACCTTCCCGTTTGGTGGCTGGTTATTTTCCAGGAGCTTCCTGTGATTTATCGAAGTTGGTGGCTCTCAACCCCTAGCTGCTAGGGGCCCTGCCCTCACAGCTAGAGGGTCTGTCGGTTGGTGTGGGGTGGTCTGTTTGCTCCTGATGATTCTAACGTGCAGCCCGAGAGGAGAGGGCCTGCCCTGAGCACGTGTTCACGGATGGTGCCAAGTAGGCTGGGCTGGACGTCAAGGCTCCTTGGCCAGGTCGGCTCCCCAGTCCAGGCCTCAGCTTCCTGCCCTGTGGAGGAGGGATTAGTCCCTTGACCTCCATGGTGTCTTCTCTGGGGCCGCTGAGGTTGTGTAACCATGAGAAGCTCATGAGCAGTTCTGATACTGTTCTTGTGCTTTTTCTCTTTCAGGCAGAATATGAAGTTACTCCAGATGAAAAACTGGGGGAGAAAGGGAAGGAAATTATGACCAAGTACCTCACCCCAAAGGTAAGAGGCTGCCCCAACCCCACAGCAAGAGGAAAAGGGAGGTCTTTTAGAGGAATTTGGGCCCTGGATCCGTGCCAGGCCATGTGGGGGGCTGTAAAGCACATGTAAAGCACGCACAGCCACGGGGCTGCAGAGACCCCGTATCTCATCCTCCCCCAGCAAGTGCCCAAGACTGGTGAGGCCCAAGGCGGGTGGGCCCGGGTGGGGAGGCCTGCTCGCTGGGGCCCAGTCCCCTCCAGGGACCCCATGCTGGCCATACCCAAGGATTTGTAGCTGGACAGGTGGAGGCCTGGCCCAGCTGGGGTCAGGAGTGCCCAGAAGAAAGGGCACAGCGGGCGTGGTTTGGAGAGGTTGGTGTGGAGGGAAAGGGCCCAGGGGTGGGCAGGAAGGAAATGGGGTGGCAGAGGCGACATTGGGTGAATACATACAGAATGTGGAGGATCCTAAAGTATGTTCTGGGTATACTGATGGGAGAGTATACCCCATCAGTACCTGGCCCTACCTCAGGAGCACCCACACCCCAATGCTGAAGGAATAGTACCAGCCCCTGCGGTCCTGGTGGTCTTGGTTCCCTAGAACCTGTTCCTTCTCACCCCCAACTTGACAGATAAAGGTGGTCTCCATCTGGTTCAGAACTTGGCCTGGGAGCCTGGGGTTCTGGTGCCATTTTTTCTCCCCACGCAATCCAGTCATGTTCCCTCACTGGGCCTCAGTTTCCGTTTCTTAAACGTGGCCCTCCCTGCCAGACCCACCTTCTAGAGGTCTTAAGAGTCTGAGTTGAGACCTGTACCCACACAGTTTTGGGTGTGTCCTGTACCCTTGTGGGCCAGCAGTGGCTTCCTCCTCCTCTGGGACTGGGCACGCCCTCTGTCCCAGGCTGCTGGTGGACTGGGGCTACCACAGCCTGTGTGACGGGGTCCTGGCTGTTCACCCGTCCACACAGAGTGTGCCAGGGAGTAGCAACACAGGCATGCAGATCAGGAAACGGCTTCACCCCTAGTTTACCATGTGACCTTGGTCCTCCTCTCCCGGGGTCTCAGTGTTCTTTGCTGTAAAATGGGTGAGACCTGACCAGATAATGGCAGAGGGTCCCTGCAAATGGGCTCATCGTGGACTCCGTTCTCTCGGCCTACACTGAATGACACGTGATTCGCAAGATAAGAACCAAACAAGGAGAAAAATGGGAGGTGCTTCAGTCAGAGAGAGAGGGGTGTTGGCAACGAGGCATAGAGACTCCCCGGATGTGACATCTAGCCCCTGATAAAAGACCAGCCCTGCCCCTACCTGCCTGCCGCCTTGGGGGCGCTGCCCCGTGGCTGGTGTCCCTTCGCAGCCGCACCAAAGCAGGATGCAGTTACACTGGTTTTCGGCCGCTGCTCAGGGTGACTCCACTCAGACAGGGAGGGTTGTGGGCAGAACAATCCGGGTCCCGTACGGCTCCTTCAGCACCAGGTGGCCTTCTGACAGCCAGCGACACCCTTGCAAAGGCATCCAGGGTGACCTCAGGGCTTTCTACCCACAGCAGCTCCTTCAGACTTTGAAATCAGGCCTCCTCTCCCCTGCTCATACACTGTCTCTGCGTATTTGTGTAGGTTTTAACTCCGTGACATGAAAGTCCCTTGAAGTGGTACACCCCATCTTGATGTTCTCAGCAAGGGTCCCAGGGGGTCCTTGGCAGCTCTGGTCCCACCTCACACCCTTGCTGCCCTCTCGGGAGTTACGGAGGTCCGGGGGGCCCTGAGCGTGTGCGGTTCCCCCACCGCCAGGGTCTCTCGTACCACACCGAGTCCCGCTCCGGGTGCTCATCTCCAGCATCCGCAGGTGGCTAGGGGGCATCCCTGTGCAGTCTCACACCCAGAGATGTCTCCTGCGTCACTTCCTGCCACTCGTGCCGAGCCCTCACCCCTACTTGTCATTCTCTCGCTGCCTCCCCTTGGGGTCTCTGTGTTTCTGCCTCCTTCTGTCCGCGTGATGGGCAAGTGCTCGCGGTACGTCGGCACATTTCAGAAATGAGAGGATGCAGTTCGTAAAATGCCCCCAGACGCTGAGCGGGGCCGGCTCCCTCTGCACACGGCATGGCCCTGGGCACATGTGGCTGCCCGCTCCGTCTGCGGGGCCCCTGTGCAGCTCTGCCCTGCTTTGTTTCAGACACAGGCCTCTTTGGCGTCTATGGAAGTGCTCAGGTTGAAAGTGGTCAAGAAGGAGACATGTCTGAGCGGGGTCCCTGTCCACCCACACTTACAGCTGCTGACGTGCGGCTTTTGACCTGGTCACCTCTTGAAACAGCAGGAACGCCTTGGGCATAAGCAGGGCCCAGAGGCCCGGGGAGGTGGGCGAGAGCAACAGCTCAGCAGCTGAGCGCCCCCCAGGCGTTGTGTGTGCTGGCTTCCATCTCTGGGACACAAGAGGTGGCCAGGTGGCGGCCAGGGCCCAGGGAGGCGAGTGACATGCTGCGGCCACTCAAACGCTAGAGTCTTCAGCTGCCCTCAGCAAAGGCGGTTTCCGCAGTGCCTGAGCTTTGCCAGTCCGGCTCTGCATCTGCGCCCAGTTTGGGGCTGCCCACCCGCTTGTATTCCCCCAGACATGTGTTGAGGACCCACTGTGTGCAGACACGCTCACCTGATCCCTGCAGCTACCACGTGATGTGATTCTGTTGGCTCCGTCTTATGGTTGAGCCCGGGGAGGTTCAGGAGGGGCTGTCACCGTCCCAGGTCATGCAGCTGGGACTTGAGCCCTTGGTCTTCACCCCGTGGTGCACTGTTTCCCACTCCTGGCCCCTCACTGACCTCCTGCCACCGTGCCCGGGAGCATCTGCGGGCCTGGCTGTGGTCCACAGGGAGGATGAAGTATTCCTCTGCTCGGCCCTGCCAGCTCCTCAGGCCCATCCAAGGGCTGCTGCAGGGGACCGTTTCACTCTCTGCCGACCAGAAGCCTCTGCTGGTGGACCCCATCCCGCCCTCCAGACCTCCCTGCCCCTGCTCAGCGCTGCCTCCATTTCCTGGAGGGATGGGGCCCAGACTCCTCATCAGCTCAGATGGTTTTACAAGTGCCTCAGAGCCTGCCAACATTTTTTCCTTAAGTACTCCTCAATTTAAAGAATTTAAACCACACCATGTGTTATGGCCCAGGGGCCTGGGGGAGGTGGTCGAAGCAGTCCCATGGGGCGACTGTTTTCCTACAATAAATTTCACACTGCCTCCCAGTCCTTCCTGTAGACAATCTCTCAGGAGCCGTTTTCACTTCTCAGTTCTGCAGATGGCCCAGGTGCTGGAGAGCCAGGGGTGAGGCTCCGGCATTGGCCCTCAGGTCTCTGAACAACCCCCAGAGTCATTGTCCCCAAACCCAGACTGTCCTTACCTTGAGCGTGTCTCAGCTCTAAGCAGCAATTCCAAAGGGTAGGCTGAAGGACACTGATCATCTGAGAAGCTCTGTGGGCAACTACATGTGGGCAACACTATCTGCTGCATGTGCCCCTTGTGAAAATTCACCTGGCACGTGAGCATCTCAAAGGCCCTAAGAAGTCCTGCAATAAAGAAACCTGTTTAACCGCAGACAAAGCATTTCCCAAACTTATTTGACCATAAAACCTTCCACCCCCCCGCCGCCCAAATTTTACACCCTGCTGAATACATCTGTGGCTACAGAACACATCCAAGGGGCTTCATGACCTGGTTTCCTTCTGCTTCAAAATGCTTTCTCCTGATACCCCTCCCACAGGCCCCACACTGGGCTTTGGCCCAGTCTCTTCTTGACGACCACATCTCGTTGTCCCTATTCAGGCCATTCCCCACAAGGCCCTTCACCTAGACCCTTACTCTGTTTTTCTCCCTTCCCTGTTCCTCAGCCTGATACCTTGGCTGCACACAGTCCCTTGCCACTGATCAGATGCCATCACACCTACTTGGGCGGTCACCAAGCACACCGCGCTGTGTACTCATGCAAGTACATGAGGTCGGTGCTTCCGTGCCCCGGTGCAGGGGTCCTGAGGAGCCCGCCCTGCAGAGGGTGACACACATCAACAGGTCCGTCAGCGGCAATGTGACGGGAACAGTGGCGGAACTGTGCAAAGGGAAAAGGGAAGACGGGAGGAGGATCTTGAGAAGCTGCCCCTAGACCACCCTGGACAAGCCAGGGAGGCTTCTGGGAGGTGAAGCAGCTGAATCAAATTTTAAGGTGATGAGGAGGAAGGGACCAGGTATGAATGAAAGGAAAGAAGGGTGTTTCATGGGCAAAGGTATAGAGCATCACCTGGGAATGTTTTGCCCCCCAGGGGACAGTTGACAGAGACTGGAGATATTTTTGATTGGCACAACTAGGGGGAGGTGCTACCGGCATCTAACAGGTAGGGGCCAGGGGTCCTGTTGAGCGTCCTACGATGCACGGGACAGCCCCATAACAAAGTATTTTCTGACCCCAAATGTCAGTGGCATTGAGGTTGAGAAACCCTGGTATAGACGTGGGCAAGGGTGTAGTGGGAGTAGAAGGTAGGGGGATGGGGATGCCCTGGGCAGCAGGGCCTGGCAAACCATGCTGAGGAGATTGACACCATCCTGGAGGCAGTGGGAGCCATTTGCGGTTGAGGCTGGTTCCTCTGACCACATGGAGAGCAGGGGATTGGTGGGGGGACTGGAGGCAGAAGACTAGGGAGCTGATGCAGGTGCCACGGGAGTGACTGTGACCCATGCTGGGACATGACAGCACGAGGGTCTTGGGAAATGTTAGCAGGAGGCTAACATCTTGGGGGCGGCCAGGTGTGGGGTGTGAAGGGGAAGGGCAGGAGACCCAGGTGACTCCTGGTTTTCATCTTGAGTCACTGAGTGGGTGCAGCACCCCCAGGAAAGACAGAGGACATGGGACATGGGCAGAGATGGTGGCATCTGTTCTTTGTGGGTGTCCCCTGCACCTGCCAGTGCCGGACTCACGGCTTGCAATCATTGTGAGCTGCTTTGAATGAGACAGCGAGAGGGCCCCGGGAAGCTTCCTTCCGCGAGCCCCTCACC